CGGGCACGTCCCACTGGGAGGAGGTCCAGAGGAAGACCCAGGACACGCTGGAGGGACTATGTTTCTCAGCTGGCCTGGGAACTCCTTGGGATTCCCCTGGATGAGCTGGTCCAGGTGGCTGGAGAGAGGGAAGTTTGGGTCTCTCTGATAGGCTGCTGCCCCTGAGACCTGACCCCAGATAAGCAGAAGAAAATGGACGGACGGATTTTAAGTTTTCATTGAAAGCAAAAAAATTCTATTTTTACTTCTTTACTTTAAAATTTAACACCTCATTACAAATTTAAATATGATSKAACTCAAACAGTTGTTTAAGCACTCTAAAAACTGAAGTGTTGAATTTACCAAGTTTTGCCAGCTGGTTCCACTGAACCCAGATGAGTTAATGTACCACTTTGGTTAAGTAAATCCAACACTTCATTTCTTAGAGTGTGTAAAAGTACTTTTACTTTCCCAATTTCCCAATTTCATGACTTTTACTTACTTTTCTTATCGTTGAAATTCATTCTTTGCCATTTTAAAGGTATTTTTACTTATTTCTTTTAAGTACTTGATAAACCTCTGGTTACAGCATCTGATTTAATATTTTAAAGTAAATTAAACTGAATAAATGGAACTAGTTATCAATCATCAGACTGAAAAATAGAAAGTTATGAGCAAATTCTGGTGTTTTATAAGACTGACATTAAGAAACTAACACAAATAATAAAATAATTACAAAATAAAGTCCAGCAGAAGAAATTATTTCCAAAGCCTCATGAAACGTATGAAACCAATACTTACACTATGCAATATTTATACACACATATACACACAAGATACTCGAGTAAAATAAAGTAAGGTGCTGAAGGCCTTACCTACCATATAAGTACATCCCCTGCCCTAAAAAAAGACTCAAATAAAGAAACTAATTGTTAATATCCACCTCTGCCCACATTAAACAGTAGAAACATCAGTTTGATCCTTATTTTTCAGTCTCCTTTCTTTCTGCCTTAGATGCATGTGTGTAGTTACCAGAGGCTTTTTGACACAGTTCACACATCACAATGTGTAGATGTGTTTATCATTATTATGTTGGAACTTTTTGCTGCTCCAATAACTGACATGTTTGCGCACGAGCCTGAGAGTTTTAATAGCAGATATGACTTTAATGTTTATTATTATTATTAAAAAATGATCTCATATTTTATTGTAATCCTAGTAATAGTGCAACATTTTCTCCAAAGAGACTAAAAGGGATGAAAGAGTTAAAGGGGGAGGGCGCGCGCACACAGGGGGGCGCGTTTAGTATAAAAGCAGCTCAGGAGCAACAACAGCAGCGTGCGTCCCAGTTCAGACCTGGTTCTGGTCTGGGTTAACTGGAGGTTTCAGACAGAACTCAGCTGTGAGAGATTAACTCCGGGAATCTGTTTGTTTCAGGACTATTTTCCCTCCTCCTCCTGGATTATGCGCTGGATTGTGCGGCGCAGGATTATGCGGGAAACCCGCGAAGTGGTGCGCAAAGCGGATGGAGAGGAGGTGCAGAAACCTGTGGCGTGAGGCTGGGAATGTGGCGGGGAAACAAGTCTGGATGAGCCCTCTGCTCTCCTGTTTGACTCCACCTGAATGATCAGGAGGTAGAGGAGGACCAGGGTTCACTTCAGGAAACCACCTGAGGAGGAAACAAAGGATCCAGACTCATCTCCAGCACTTTTTCCTTTCTTTTAAAAGTTCCTTTCATTTCCCCCCCTCCTTTGTTATTTTCTTTTTGGCCCCTCTGATCCCCGAAGTGGCTCCGAAGTGGTGTTGCGGACCCTCGTCCCCGGCGGATCCAGAGATTGGAGTCTCCGCGCCGGGAGGAGGCGCTCCGGCCGCCCCGCGGGAAGCTCCGAAGAGCGGCCGCGTCAAGAGGATGGTGCGCCTGGCCGCGGAGCTGCTGCTGCTCCTGGGACTCCTCCTCCTCACCCTGCACATCACCGTGCTGCGGAGCAACCCGCTGCCGCAGGACAATGTCACCCTGAGCCTGGAGCAGGGCGCGGCGCTTCCGGAGGTGAGTTTAGGGGGGGGGGGGGGGGGGGGGGGGGGG